GCCTATTTTCTATCAAAATTCCTTCGTAATATTTTTAAATTGATTATTCTAAATAGATTCAGTACGCATTTTTTTTCTTACATTTAGCAGGAGATAATAAGTGGTAATGTGGTATTATTAGTAGTAGAGGAATAAGTAGTGAAAAAAATCGATAAATTGTGCTTTTCCGCACTTTGTAAGACGTGAATTCGTCATACGAGAATGTAAGAAGATATCAAACAATGATCTTTTTATCGACTGCACTCAGAGCTCGTGACTTGCCGTGGATCGTAATGGCAAAGAGTAAAGCATGAGCAATTGAAAGAGGACGGGTCAATGAGACTGGCAGAGCGGGAGCGGGATTGGAGCAGGACTAGTATTGTTGAAGACTGTAAAGGAAGAACGTAATGATCAGATGCTGGACAATACTAAAAACTATTATGAATCATATATACTGACCTACACTATTCTACATTAAGATACATAAAGCATTTACAAAATATTAACGTTTATCCCGATTTTCTATTCAGTATAAGGTACAGTAATCAAGTCTATAAAGTTCGATATTGTAGCAGTGTGTTGACTTTTGTTTACATGTTTATTAGAAGCGCCTACCTTTCAGTGTTACGCAGCACTGCATTTCCTGTACTCTTCACTTGCCGCAGTAAAGCTAACTGATTCTTTTAGTTACCTATATTAACAATTTTTAATCGTAATTTTATCTTTTTTAATGTTCAGGCATATGTTTTGTTTTATGATAGATCATGAAATGCAACGAAATCCATTTTACTAATATTATATTTTCAACTCTCGAACACCTTCTCTCCTGTGAAAGCAAGTAATGTCTCAAATAACACTGCGGTTTACTTTATTTCACTCTGCTGAATCATTGTGTGGTAAGTCGAATTTTATGGTGGCCGTTCTTTATTTCTTCTCCCAATACTGCGCGAGGATTGCCACTGCCCGTTAACTGATGTTTCCCGTCTAGTCCCTCTACTTCCTCAGGTGCAAGATTTCTTTCACCTTGGCGATGGTACGTACTGTTTTCTTGGTAGAACGGTCTGCACATCCTCCGAGGTCCAGGAGTTTTTGGCATTACTTTTCTCTTTAAGATACTTACGTCAAGTCTCCAACGATTTTGTGATCAATTTGTGTCCATACGCCTAAAACCAATTTCTGATCTCAGACATCTCTTTTCCAACACTAAAATGGTCTCATCTACCCTTCGTGGGTCATTTCCCAATTTTCATTTCCTATAGAAATGTTGGGATATTTAATAACATTAATCAATTTCCTTACTGTTCTACCTTTTCCAGGGTTTTATAATTGTTGCGTTTATTTGATGTAGTGTTTCAACTTCTTCTGTACTGCGTCTAGTCACCTCTGTCATGACAGATTGTATCCAGGAAGTTTGTACACAATTTTCCTATAGAGCAAGTTCCAGTAATTTAGCTTTAATGGTCCCAATCTACAAAGATATGCCTTTCGAAAGAGTAGGCTTGCGCTCGTCATACCTTTTGATGTTAAAGAGGATATAAGCGTTATACGCGGAATATAGTGATTTTATATCTCTCTTATTTAATTTTATTAACGTTCTGACGAAAAGAGAAGTGCATTCATGCATCAATGCTATTTTCCATCCCATTGTATTTTGATCGTTGATGACCAAATACCACTCTCGAACCATTAATAATCAACTCAAGTAGTTCCGAACATATATACCTCTTGCCCCTTTACGATTTTCCTTTTTTTCGGCACACAATCTGGTGGTCTAATCTAGCCTGCCCGAAGTCGTATCCCAGCACGACACTCCATTGAAATCCCTCTCACTGCAATCGAGAAAGTGATTTTGGGTGTTGCGCAGAGTGAGTGTAACATTCATATTTTTGTCATTACGAAAAATCGTTGAAACTAGAGAAACGCAAAATAATTGCATTATGAATATACGGGTCACATTTACCCGAATGACTTCAGCCCCTAGGCGCTTGCTAGCAATAGGAAGCAGTCACGAAATCCGCGACTTATGGTCGAAGGCCAACAAGTTGACCTCAATAGCGTTCCTATCGCCGTACGGTGAGCAATAGCTACGCAGTGAAGGCAAGTTGTTCAACTGATCACTTAGCAACCAGTGCAAAAGAAGCGGTGCTCCATTCCGAATAGCTCTGAAGATCCACCTTTTTAACAAACACAACAAATTATTAGTACATCTACTAGTTGTCCTAATTAATGTGCCTTAATATTTAAATATTTATTACACCATGCTGTACAAAAGCATGATTCGCTCATGTACACAATTGTATTACCTTGTGATTTTCTTGAAACCTAGCAATACCGGAAAATAGAGGCTCGTGGCTAACGCGCTTTCCGTCTACAGCGTCCCCGGTTCGATTCCCGGTCGATGTAAGACCTGTAGCGTGCGTTTTCCTGATATGTCCCAGTTATGTTGCTGTGGGACGATAGAACACACGTACCCCTAATCCATTGCGCGAGGGGCAGGGCTCGGCCGGTACGCTGAGTCGTTTTAGAGGCTGTCGTGCAAGTACCTACGTACATACAATACGAAAGTATAAGTGGTTCTGTGGCATAATAATTGGGTGCATGCGAGGTCTGAGCTCGCCACAAACGTTTTATTTACTCGTATATACGGAAAGTGAACAATTGGCTGTATTTAACGCACAGTTCATGAAAAATAATTCAAATTTTTCGAAAAAATTTTATATGACATTATACACATCTATGCTTTAAGTATAGGGAAGGAATCTCTATACTTAATATTTAGTTTGTAGAAAGCCGTCGAAAATAATTTTAACCTTTGGCAATTTTGGAAAAATTAGCGTTTTCAACGAACAGGAGACAAATGGACTTAACGTCTTTTCGCCTATTCGATAAGTTCCAAATATTTTAATTCAATAGTACATTACCCCCGGTCTTTCATATAAAGTTACCATCGAATTTTAAAATTTCGGTTTTCAAATTCAAAGGGCCGCGAATTCAGGCCAATATTATATTATAATATATATATAATATATATATCTATATATATATTATATTTATATATATATATTGATATACATTCTTATTATTAATATATGGATGTGCATTGATTACTGAAGGGTTCAGAAAACTACACTGTTGTTGTTTATTATTCAACGATTGAGCTCAGATCATGATCTAGTTAACGACGCTAATCTGTGTCGTACATATTCTCCTAGGATTTATAATATCTGAGTATGAAATTGACGCTGGACATTGTTAAACCATGAGTCTCTGTAAGCTTGACTTCTCAATTGTTTTAGAAATTTGTTATATCATATACAATCTTATTTACACTTATAATTTATCGCAATAATTTAGGTAATTATTCCTAGATCTATTTTTTCGATTATACCATTGTCCATAGCAATATGAGTTTTCCCTTGCTCTCACGAATATATTCATCCGCTTTTTATATCACGGAAAGATTGCATAACTCTACCACTTTCTACTGCAGTGAGTTGCGGGTAAGCGAGAAGTAAATTTTAGAGCCTAATATCGTAACATATATTCTAGATATATCAGGAGTATTGTGGAATAACATTCTGATTATATTTGTTTTATATTCATCCCGCCTCAGGTATGTATCAATCTACTCTTCATTCAATTGTCCCTAATTATTTGGTCGAAATGTTCAAGATCATCTCTAACAAAGAATCAATATAATCAATTAATCGTACAGAAAAACAAGAATGGCATGGATAGAGTAGATCGACTAGATAGCAGTAATGTAGCATATGTGTAAAAGACTCGATTATCCGGGAGCTATATAATCACGACATCACATGTGTACAAGCCGTCAAGAGAGAGTTTATCTTCCGTGACGTCATGGAAGTTTAGAGACTTTTGTCGGTCTGATTCGTCAGTAAGTAACTCCGTACGTTTCAGTCTCAACGTCTTACAGGTAATATAACGTATTGGGGTCTGCAATTACGTCACATATTAATTATTACATCACACTCAAATTAAATTTGATATTCAAAAATATGAACATGAATCCGGTTATCGATATTAATTAAAATAGCTTGAGCAACTAATTTTTTCAATATCATACCAGTTGAAATACTTATCGCATTCGTTATTAGATAATAACAAATTTTCGTGGTAACTTATTCTCTCAAAACTCTATTATTCATTTTATTCGAAATACTATTCTTATACTACCTCACGTCATTATTGATTTAGCTATGCAACAATTTATACTTACAACTCACAAATAATCGCCGAATAGTGGTTATTTCAAGCATCTGGCGTTTCAAAACTTTTAAGTGATACTGAACATATTACATAGCTATGAGAGCACATGACAAAACACTCGAAGTCTCGTTACTATCTATATTCTCTAAACCTACTACAATCCAATCTCATGGTACATACCCTGTGTTCACATGGGAGGGATTTCATTTCACGCGTGGGGTTAGTTTTATTAATTTATAATTGAGATTATGCTGACAAAAAGAAGTGGTATATTGCTAGAGCGATTTAAAAACGATTAGTATTTTATTGGACAATACAAAATAATGTATCACATTTTATTAACGACGAATTAACTCTTTTTTCACTATTGTGACCTTCGATCTGAAAAAGTTTAAATTATGAAAATTATTGTAGTTTTTTTTTAATTTTTTAATTCTAAATAAAATACGCAAACCGAGTTAAAAAATCGAACTGAAAACATCTAATATTAAATAAGGATGGAGTTCAATAAACCGATTTTAAATTAATTATATGCTTCTAAAAAATGTGTCGATGTTTTTAAAAAACATGCACCGATTCAGTTTCCGGATTACAGTGGCGGCGGCGCATGTGGCCAGGACATCTGGCGGGCGCGGGGGCGCCAAGGAGGAGGCGGAGCAGATGTCCCATCGAGTGGACCCGTTCTGGTGGAAGGCCGGACAGCCGGCAGCGGGGCGGCGCGTGGGGGGAGCGGGGGGCGGCGTGGCCGCGGCGCGGCGGGCGAAGGCCGGGGGGCAGCGGCGACCGGCGCCATGGGGCGGCAGGCGGCGCGAGACGCGGGCGGGCGGGCGGCGGCGGCGGCGGCGGGGCGCCGCGGCGCGGACGAGGCGCCGGCGGCGGGCGCCGCGGAGCGCGCCGCAGGCCGCCACCAGCCCGCCCGCGCCGCCCACTCGCCCCCTCGCGCAGCGGCCGCCGGCGCCGTGAAGCAGGAGCCCCCCGGCGGCGGCGACGCGGCCGCGCACGACCCCTGCGACCGCGACGGCGATGACGACGCGCCCCTCAAGCCCCCGGCTGGCCGCAAGCGTGAGTACACGCGCATCTGCGTCACTTACACCTTCACATTTATTTGCATGTGATTTGCTTGTTGCTGTAGAGGAATTAATACAAATGTTGCGATTATGATTCTTACATTTTCTTTCCCACACCAGACTCGAACGTCTATGATATTCAACATTCATATATTAAATGTTCGCTTACAATGGGATCTTCCCGTTCTATACTGGACAGTTGTGAATATATCTCTTCCCCGTATTATCATCGGAAAAAGAGTTCACCCGCAACTGTTGATATTTTGTTTATAAATTGACCGATCTTTAAGCAATACACACGTGCTTTTATTCCTATTACATTTTTCTTTCAGCTGGTTTGAGAGAATATTCCAGTTCCGAGCAATTGTAATTTTTTAAATCTTATTATGGATAATATTGAGGTATACCAAAGGGTTTGGCCATGCGTTCCACACCACAATCACATGGAGAAGACTTCCGTGCATTACATTTGATTTAATTGTGCAACCATTCCTTTTGAAAGCAACTGTTGAAAATTACTCAGCGCTAAAATGTTAATACAACAACAAGAACAACAGATTTGTTTTCCTGAATATTAGTAATTTCGTGTTGAGGTGCTATTTCGTAGTATCATTGCCTACTTCCTTAAGCATAAGTACGAAAATGTCAAACTTAAAAAACCAAACTCAAAAAATAATTCCGTAATCCAAAGTATAGAAATCAGTGTTTGTTTGTTTGTCCGTACTTAATGCGCTGCTGTACCGTTCATTCGATTGCGATGAAACTCTGCCAACTTATTGCTTGCACTTGTGTTATAGGCACAGTACGAGTACAATTATTGTAAGTTTGCTGGATGGCGCTTCAGCATAAGATGATACTTCATTTAAATGCAATTCTCAATACACCTGAACCTCATTGTTGCTTAGCGTCCCCGTGTGTCGTGGGTGGAGGTAAAGGACAGGAGGAGCGGGCGACGCAAGAATGAGAGAGCAGAAGGAAAAGAGCGGAGAGGGAGAGGAAAATATAGGGGGAAAGATTGAAAGGGAGAGAGGGGGAGAGAGAGAGAAATAATTAGTTAACTCTTAAATAAGAAAAAGACCAAGATAACTCTTTCAAATTTCAAACGATATTTCCACAATTATTTCTTCTGCGGCAGCTTGTGTAATATAACGATGAAAAATTTATTATTAAACTTTTGGCAACAACACCAGCACTCATGCATGCGTAATTCATGCATGCATGTGAGATACTTTGGTTGCCTTAAAGAAAATAGCAAAAAGCACTATTCATATGTGTTCCATTTAAAACTGGTTTGGGAATACCTTGAAAAAAATGGGCATCGGATCAAGAAAAGTTGATAATGAAAGTTGTTCGTATCGACGGGGCCCATACAATTATACCGTAGCGAAAAATAAAGTTGAATGGAAATCTCCGTTTTTTTATTGCAGAATCGAATTCTCCGGTAAAAATACCTAATGTTTGTATTTAAATATTTCCGTTTCGTGATAGATGTTGCTGTAATCGACAAAAATCAACAAGGTCATTAACCTTTTTATAAAAATTTTGGAGGTTTTCGCGGACTGCGTGCAATATTTGCAATTTTAAAAAATAACAAAAACAAGATTTTCTTAAAAACGGCTCCAAATTTTTTCTTTAACGTTTCTGGTAGGGATAGAGCTAAATGAACTTAACATGATGACATAAAAGCCGTATTTCTCATTTTTTTTTTTTTTCAAAAATTACATAAATGTATTTTGTTTGATATGTCTCTCACGTCGTTAAAGTTTACATTAGCCGCAATTTGTTCTCATTAATGTATTTATGAGCTCATATACTTTAAATAATGTCAGATAAATTTTCTCGAAAACTCGACAGTTTTCTGTGAAAATGAGCTCAAAATTCCGCATTTTCAGAAACACTCGAATGTCTTTTTATTTCGAAAATGGCTCCAAAATTTTTATTCCAACTTTTCCAACAGATATGCTGATTTCAGTGTTTAAGATGACAGAATTGATTTTGATATGATTGTATTCTTTTGTTTTTTCAAAAATTACACAAATGTATTTTTTTTTAAATATTTCTCGTGACTTTAATATGCAAATTTTCAGCGCTTTGTAAACATTGTTACATTTGTGTTTGGAAGTACTGGAAATTACTTCTTATGAAGTTTTTCGAAAACTTTATAGTTTTCTGTGAAGAGCTTCAAGTTTCGAATTTACAGTGCTTAAACGCCATTTTCTTAAAAACGCCTCCAAATTTGTCAAAGAAAATTGCCATTTTGGATGTGGTTTTACTGTTCTTTAATATCCTTGTTATAATATTCCTATTTTACTATTTGGAAACCGAAAAATTAAGAAAATTTCAATAAATGTAGTTTGGACAGATGGCAAGAGTGTGTGATGTACTTGGATGGGAGCTGTCAAGAGTATGTGGCAAGTCCGAATTGCTAACTAAGACTAAAAGAAACAGAAAACTAATACATGAAAGTTTGTGTTATTCTGTGGCACTAGTTTTTCTTATTTAGCAGCTGCATTTATCCTCTTTTTCGTTATCGGTGTTCCGCAATGAGTTTGTTTCTGCCGAAAATCAGCGCAGCATTTCATAACTTTCCTTGTACTACGCATATTACTTAGAATATACGTAGGTATGCGGGAAAGTAAAAAGCAACAAATTCGGGGTGTATTGCATAATATGCACACCGGCATGTTTTTCTAGGAAGACGCTTTTAGTCAGAATGTTGTTATAATGTTGGTAACGTCAGAGCATCAAGCATAAGCTTTACGTTCTAATGAATAACACGAGCACAAAAAGTGAGTGTTCCACTAGATCCAGCAGAAATGCAGATTTTTGTCTGAAGAGATGCAAACTTTGGAAAGCCAATTTTCAGATTAGGATGTGAAGATTTAAATTTGTATATATTTCGTTTAAATTTGCAAGTTTGCTGTTTTTTTATATTTTCGTTCCGAAATCCTCAACGTTATTTCATATTTTTGTCAGGCATTATTCTATTACATCTGAACAATGCATCCTTTCCTTTTTTGACACACTCTTCGGATCATTTCTTGTTTGGTTTTGGGTTCGTATATGACAATATGTCCATCTCTTTAACGAGCATTTTGGCTTTGCGTACCATGTATTCAGAGGCAGGAAATGCACTTTTAAATTTATTAATGCTCTAGCTGGTCGGAAGAAGGGTCAAAAGAGTAGTTTTTCACTTCTTTTACAGGTTTGAAACTTCTCTTTCAACTGATTTAATATTTCATCGTCCGAACTCGTCGACGGTCCAGGCTGCTGGCCATTAGAAATATGAAAAACGTTTCCCTTTGAAACATTTCAATTTTATTAAATTTCCTTACACCTACTAGACTACGTTTGTTGTTTTCTTTTTATGAGAAGAGTGCCCAAGTTTATAGAATGTATTACAGCGCACCGAATATTTAAACCGATTATCCAACAAATGGCGACCGAGATTGAGCTATTCTTCGAAGGTTTCAGCAGCTGCCAACGCAGTTTTTGTCCCCAGTGATCAAAACATCAATTGCACACACACACACACACACACACACACACGGGACGCTACGTAGGGCGGTCAACTTGGGCGCCCTGGAACTGTGCCTCTGTTCATGGTAGCCAGAAAGCGCCTTTGCGTATTTCGGATCATAACCTCTTGCTTCGTTGCCATCCCAAATTCAAATGTTCACCAATTAGGCAATACATATTGCGCTTCAACATATAAAAAAAAGGAATTTTTTGTAAACTTTCAGCATAGTAGTTAACACTAATAAAATAAATTATTAATCCGTATGTCTTTATTTGGAATTACATATCAGCTTTCCAATGAGATAAATATTTTACTTTACGTTTATAGAACAATACGCTGTTACACCATCGCCGCCACCGCAAAGATGTGCAGGAAGTTTCACTAAAATCAGAAGGGGTTAGGCGACAATGTCTCTGTGCTGCGACGATCTGACGTGGAATGATTCTTTTGCTTTGATATAGACCCGATGTGGATGGGGAAAGTGTTCTCGAAAGTTGACTCTGTGTACTAATATTTTTTAAATGTTCAAACTTTTATTGTTCTGGTTTGATTATTTCTTAATTTACATTACATGAAATTACATTCTTCAACCCCCAACATATTTATATTCCACAAATGTATTGTAGAATAATGAAACATGTACATTGCTTGTTTTGAACTTATTTTATATATAGTATTTCTATTTTGGAGGTGTTAAAATCTGATATCTGAACGTTTTCGGTTCGATGCTCAACGATTACTATGTATGGAAGTTTTCCTCGTTTCAGGACGAACACAATATAATTTAAATTACCCTACTACCCCTTTTGACGTAAAAATAACTTTTTGCTCGTTACTGTGGTGTGCAGTCGAACTTTGACAAAATCCCGTATGATTCGAATCGCTTACACCTACAAGACTAATAATGGGCATGCACCGGTTGCGCTTACACCGGAAAAAATGTTTGTTCGCATTTGTCGCGGACGATGTGGTTCTCCTGTGACGTCAGCGGAGGCGTGTAGCGTGTTTAAAAATACCGTCTGATCAAAAGTATCCGGACACGTCCAAAATGGTGTTATGATGTGGTCGTGTTTTTCATGGAGGGGGTTTGCACCCCTTGTTTTATGTGTCACTATCACGGCACCGGCCTATGTTGATGTTTTAAACTCCTTCTTGCTTCCCACTGTTGAAGAGCAATTCGCGGATGACAAGTGCATCTTTCAACCCGATCGAGCACCTGTTCATACTGCACGGCCTGTGGGGGAGTGGTTACACGACAGTAACATCCCTGTATGAACTGACCTGCACATAGTTCTGACTTGAATCCTATTGAACCCCTTTGCGATGGTTTGGAACGCCGATTTCGTGCGAGGCCTCCCCGACCTACGTCAATTCCTCTCCTCAGTGCAGAACTCCGTGAAGAGCGAGAGTGGAAGCTGTCATCAAGGCTAAGGGTGGGCCTACATCGTATTTAATTCCAGCATTACCGATGGAGGGCGCCACGAACTGATGTCATTTTCAGCCACATGTCCGGATACTTTTGATCATGTAGTGTAGGTGTTTTATCTCCTCATTTGTGTGTTCTCACTACTTCTAATACTCCACTTCCACGAAATTGTTAGCTTTCGGATCCCATCCAACTACAGGCCATGGTGTATAGTGAGAGTCTACGATCGCCCGTACTAATGCGACAGAGTGAGATTTGAAAATGAATAAATTAATTAAAGATAATGGGGATGAGATGAAAAACTAAGAGCCAAGCGAATTTATAGAGATTTGAAATGCTTTCTTAGTACTCATGTAATGCTCTGGGAAATTAAATAATTTATTTACAGTTTTGTCTAAATGAAATTCTCGACTACGCACCTATTCACTGCCTCTAATTTTGCCGAGATTCGTTTTCAAAATTCTAGGTTTTGGTCTTGTTCATTGAATATTTTATGAAATTCTTGATGTGCTTTTTCCTCCATTTGTTATTGAATAGTAATTGCTGCTTGTACATTGGAAATTGAACTCTTTACAACTCTAGTAAAGAACCGCAATGAAGTGGTCAATAGAATTTACCCGTTCTACTTTGTATCGTTTTTTTTGTAATAATCGGCACGACTCCCATGTCACCAAACATTCAATTTGCATGCACATCTAGATGCTGTAGAAAAACTTTTCTCAAAGCATTCGCTTTAAGGTATCTGTTTCTCTTTTACGACCTTTTTTTGACAGGATGGCGTGCTAGCGAGAAACAAGGCACAATAAGGTTCAGAACTCCGTACAACTTTTCTCGTATGGACACTTGCTGCAGAGTACATTTGCGATAGACTCGAAATGGACCCTTCGTCGGAAGTAGGGTGTCGAGATGTACTGATGTGCCGGCTAGTGCAGGACTGCATCTCTTGAAGATGAGATCTTTTTATGTGCCACGTGAAGAAAGGAAGGGGATTTTTACATTTACTACCACATGTTTAGATGTTTTACTGTTAACGTTTTTTGTCGTCTCTTTTTCTTCTCTTCAGTCCCGTAAAAACTGAAGTGTCGGTTCGTGAGCTTGAAAACGGAATGAAGCAATGTAGGCAATGGAGAAGAGAAAGGAGTGGCTGTTTCTGGCCGTCTCGTTCTGAGCAAGAATCGAACAGACTAAGTCAGACAAAAGAGAAACGAGGTATCAAAGTTAGGCGAGCAAACGGATATTACAAAACTTTTATTTTTGCAAAACGCAGAGACGTTCATTGCATTGTAGATTCCAGACAGGAACGTAATAGTAAGACTTTGTCATAGTGGGAAGCGTCACGTATAATTTTTCGAAAATGAGCTGTTTTCTCAATTTTTAAACAAATATTTCCCAAAAAAGGTCTTAAATCGTTTTCTTTATTCCCTCCCCCCTCGAACAGAATAAAATTGAGCAAATAAAAACGGCGCAGGTGCCATCTTTGGTGAACTCTATTTTCTAAATTGCAAAACTACAATTCTGATGACTGAGATTTTTTCTTTAAATGAAATCTGTTCTAAAAAATTGATTATTTTAATAAAGTCGTGTACAGTTTTTAAAAAATACGAGTATTTTTTGCTTACAGTGAAGGTGATTAAAAATACTTTCGGAAAAACCGTTCCAAATTTTTACTCAAAATTTTTTTACGAGTAAAATTCGCTTATAAAAATGACGCATTTTCAATAAACACTCTGTATTTTGGAAAATTTGAAAAGTTGTAAATAATGTCTGAGAGTAATGGGAAAGTAAATGGTGTTGTAGTTCCAAGCAGTAGATCTGAAATATGACTTTAAGAATATTATAAAAGGGTAAAATCTCGCCATACATGCACATTTTCATTGAACACTTTGGATCCTTAATAAGAAAATGTCGTTGAGGTACCTGAAAATGCGCATTGTGAAGCTCATTTTCACCCAAAACATTCAAGTTTGTGGGGGGGGGGGGGGTCAGCAGCCTTTTTGCTGCTACAAATCACTAGTATAATACTATTATCGTTTGTATATTTGAAGGCATACTGAGTGCCATACTTTGTCGTGTTTTGTAGACAAAAGAATGCTGCTGTGATCCTTCATGTCGCGGATGGCCTGTCATTGCGACTTCTGGTTAATCGAGGAGTCTACGTGTGTAAATATGTAATGTATGTAGAGTAAAGAGTTAAGATCGAACGGCTTAATTAGGAAAATGCTCTTAACTCAAAAGAATTCTGTCAAGATTTATAGACATTCCCAGACGTAGAGTGTGACCGTTGTGAAGATATGTCTATAATGTGTGATAGTTTGTAACAGATGTACATGACATGACTGAAAAAGGCGGGATTTTCCAATCGGCGATCACCCAGCGATCGTAGGTTCCGTACAGAATGCAAAGGGAATTGAATTCAGTTCCGTTCATGTCGTATTTTACGGCGAGACTCGGGCCATCAGACACGCTCTTCTGTCTGACCACCTAATTCGCTAAGCGCCTTTTACCATCTAGCGAAGAAAGTATCACTCGGACGATGGCACACGCGATTTGAACTTAACTCTGAGGCTTCTTTTAGGCTTGAAGTTATTTTGCATGCAACAAATGTGCAACAAAGGTCAACCGGCTTTACTTCCCCTCCAAAGGAAGGCGTACGACGCATTTTTTCGCTCGTAAAAATCCGATTTTGATCAGGTCTGAAAACGTGAGTACAACAGCCCGATAACCGTTACACTACCACCAAAACAGACAATCGTCTATTCTCCTCAAGAATGACCATTTTCCACTAGTTTCAAAAGCTTCGAGTGGGCAATATCGGAGACACTAAAGTAGTGTGCAGTGAAAAGTCTTTGGGGTGTTTCTCACAATGTTTATTTATTAGGGTTCATAAATCAAATAACCATATTTAGATATACCCAGATATCCTAAGAAAATGTTTGATTTCAAAATATAATGAAATAATAGATTTCGAATTATTGGAAATGACAATATAGAAGAAGCATAATGTATTTTCAAAGAAGACATAGGGTAGCCATATTGGACAGGGCTAGAATTAAATCCAAATATTAAGACTCAGAATGTTCAAGGCCGGAATAAGCAGTGTATATGGGACATTGGGTATTCCTAATATAAAGTAAACGTAGTCATGATTTGGGACGTAGCCGATTATAAAATATCATTTTGATTTGGGTAGTGTCATACGATGAAATACAGGAAAGATGGACATCCACTGGGGGACAGGTGCAGGTGTCGGGACAGGATAGGCGATTGCCAGCAGACAGGTAAAAGCCAATGGCAAAATTACTTATAAAATGTTATACGACAAATGAAAAGGGAGGTGACATATTTCATCGAGACTTCGATTTTGGCAGAAGGTATCTGATCGTCGTAGCGAGAACTCGAGAAGTTGCCAGTACGGTTAACGCGATTGGACAAATGTCGAATACAAATGTCCATCTGAGGCATTCGGGAAATGATTCAATGTAAATAGTTTGTGGATATTAGATTTAGAGACATTAACTTGCGTTCAATATTGACATCAAGAAAGGACATAAGATTCATAGTGGTCGTCGAAATGTTTCGTGGGAACTTCTTCAGTTTCCCAGCACGGAGTCGACGAGTACAACTCCTTCACAAACCGTAAGCGACGGGGAGAGACATCGTACAAGTAAATGTAATTATTTGCAAAGAAAACATTAGACAAATATTTCCGTTGGCCTTTAATAGATTAAACAATATTTAAATGTAATGACATGCCAATGAGATTTGATTTCAGAAAGTGAAGATTTGTAAATAAAATGAACTTGGTAGTAATAAATACAACTGTGTTATTGAAATAGCTGATTTATTTAATAGATAGACTCTGCAGACCCACCATTTTATTTTTTAACACAGTGAATTTTCAGAGAATACTTCATCCGTAGTGGATGGAACGTCAACCCACGTAAGTGTTTACTCAATCACACAAGAACGTGGCAGTCGGGCATTCGAAAACATTATAATAAGAATTAAATGGCATTGTGTCGATAAATGCCCATATACTTGCACATAATTTGAAAACATTTCAATACAAACAAAAGGGTAAATTTGACCCTCCCATTACAAATTTGACGTGCGGGATCTAACGTTTTACCAGCGCATTCGTGCTCGCACCCTACCCGTTGCAGGCCCATTAATTTAGCAAGTTCACTCGGGTGTTTAAGATTACGAAGCGCGCGATGCAATTAGTAGTTTCGATTGCGACATGGCTGGCGCAACAACAGCGACTTATTGGCATGCTTTGTTTGCGTGATCAAGTAATGGCTTCTTTTTTCTACAAAGCGATACCTAAGTGAGGCGCACAGGTAGTATGGTTGTGAAGATATTCCGTTTATTAGCAAATGGTGTTTTCGATTGTATTTTTACAAGCGTGCGGTTACATCAAACAACTCTGACACTTATTTTACAGAAGTTTCACGTCACTATTAAACACATTGATGAGCCCACTCGGACAGCTCGTCTATTTTCACTTCCCTTCCTGTCATCACAACCACCAAATGCGGGCACTGAGCACAATTGTAGGAAAGAATCGAGAGAGAGAGAGAGAGAGAGAGAGAGGGCGAGAGAGAAAGAGCGCGAGCGAGAGAGAGAGAGGGCGAGCGAGAGAGGGGGCGAGCGAGAGAGGGCGAGCGAGAGAGAGAGAGGGCGAGCGAGAGAGAGAGGGCGAGCGAGAGAGAGGGCGAGCGAGAGAGAGAGAGGGCGAGCGAGAGAGAGAGAGAGAAGGCGAGCGAGAGAGAGAGAGAGAGAAGGCGAGCGAGAGAGAGAGAGAAGGCGAGCGAGAGAGAGAGAGAAGGCGAGCGAGAGAGAGAGGGCGAACGAGAGAGAGAGTGAGAGAGGGCGAACGAGAGAGAGAGAGTGAGAGAGGGCGAACGAGAGAGAGAGAGGGCGAGCGAGAGAGAGAGAGGGCGAGCGAGAGAGAGAGAGGGCGAGCGAGAGAGAGAGAGAGAGGGCGAGAGAGAGAGAGAGGGCGAGAGAGAGAGGGCGAGCGAGAGAGAGAGAGAGAGGGCGAGCGAGAGAGAGAGAGAGAGGGCGAGAGAGAGAGGGAGGGCGCGAGAGAGAGAGAGGGGGAGGGCGAGAGAGAGAGGGGGCGAGCGAGAGAGAGAGAGAGAGCGTGCGCCGGTCCGTCGACGCTAATGGAAACATTCGCTGCGTTCACTCCTGGCGACCAATGTCGCCCGCGGCTTTGTGTGCGATCTATTCCACAGGTGGTTGGAGAACATTCTGAACAGGATTTGGCGGTAGTTTGAACCTAGCTTCAATTAATTCGGCACAGGTATTTCCTTCTCGAGTGTAGTCGGACTAACAGATGGCGTACTCGCGCCTTTCCACGCCAACGTCCATGCTTATCATAACTACCTTACAGATCCGAAGGGGGATGTGGCGAGTCCTTTCGAATTTGACCGTTCTTAAAATGCTTGCGATTATTTCTTTCCGTTCTGTGCGAACATAATAGAACATTTTAAACTTTTAAATCTGACAAGCATTCTGAAAATCTCAGAAATACTCTAGAAGAACTTTCGCGGCGAACCAACGCACCAAGCTAGGTGACACAAGCTCCATCAGCAAACGGCTCAGGGAAAGGAAGCAAGAATTGCGCTAGGAAGGGCATCTGGAACAAAGGGAGAGCTTCCATTGAACGCACAAAGGGTACGATATTTTTGAAGCGCTGAGGCGTCAGTAAGCGAGGGTTTTTACGGATGCCAAACAACGGTTTTCCCCCTTCCAAGGAATTTCTCTGAAACTTTTTCGTATGTACGACAGACATTTACCCCAATAGTCGATGATGTTACAAATCTAAGTTTTTTGAACGATGTGTTGCGACATATGGTCTATAGAAGTCACACTTGTTTGCATCTTTTTTAGATCCGATGACTGACTTTATATATTTAAAGTGCTAGGATTACAGAAATGACTTCCATTTTCCGGTATCACATCGGGTTTTTAAAAAGATTACATTTAAAAATCTTTATAATACTTTTAACTTGAAAAATCTGAAAACATTGTTTGATGAACAAAATTAAGAACTGCAATACAGTTTACCTTACATTAATACAGAGTTAAGAAAATTCAAATTAAAAACATCAAAGAAGGCTATTACTTCACTGTTACTGTTACATTGTACTGTTAAAAGCGTTTGTTTTCACGCGTATGAGTAGTCAATAGAACTGTTGTCACTTAAACAAACAGCTTCTTGTTTCACTTGTTCTCGTTTACGTTCTAGTAGGATCATCTCTTTGCAGTAACCAACAGGAGTCAGCCATCACTTATGTATTTCATCGCCCTTGGTACAGCTTTTCAGTGTCTTTAATATTTTGGTGAAACCTCTCACCTTGTTCTTCACTCGCTCCCAGGTTTCCTGGAAAGCAGTCTAAATTGGAGTGAAGGAAATGCACTTTCAGGCTCAAGTTAAATCCTAAGGCTTCATATTTTTTCCAGCATATTATTTACATAATGCTCATAGTTTAAATCTTTATAATTTTCCAAGAACTTATGAACTAATTCTTTGAAGCCAATCCAAGCTTCCCTTTCCGGAGGTGTAATAAATGCTTCAAAATGTTCATTATTAGCTTGTTCTCTGATCTGCGGCCCTTCAAAAATACCCTCTTTGACTTTTCCTTCTGAAAGGGTGGGAAGTTTGTTGGTTAGGAACTTAAAACAATTTCCATTCTTATCCAGTCCCTTTGTGAATTGATACATGAATCCCAATTTAATGAGTAAGGGAGGTAACAATTTTGTCACGGTCAACTAAGCAGTTTTTTATAATGTTCTTGGAACCTGGAATCAGTGAGTTTCAGATTTAGATTTATTTAGTCAACAAAAAAAACAAACAGCAAAAACTGTATGTGACGTATGGGGGAGAAGATCAGCGCACGTTTTCTTCAGTTCCAGAATCCCTTCCGATCATTTTAACTTTAAATTGCTGAAAGATGAGTAAACGTTTAAAATAAATAAAAAAGCAAGGATTTGGCAAAATTTGGAAAGAACTAGACTTTTCGTTCTCTAGTGATAGAAAACTTTTTTGCATCGGTAAACGAATTGCAGGTATGATTTTTCTGCATTCCTAAAAAAAAAGTAAGTCGCCCTTCCCTCTACTCCTACCATTACAAGCAAAAGGAGAGTACAACAAAACGTGCGCATAGTGAAGCTACATTTCTTCTAGTCCATTCTCGAGTTGTCCAATAATTATTTCTATCTCAGCTATCCGATTCACAAATATGACATGAGTACTTGGTGTAACCCTGTTGTTGCTCTAATAGCATGCACGAAACCTTTAAATCACCGCAGATCATTCATTTATATTCCTTATAATTCACCTCCTCGAGTAGCAATGAAGATGGACGGAATGTGCGACTGGTACAGGTACTTAAAAGTTACCAATGTGTAGCAACACGCCTTTTTAACTTCTTTTGCTTCAATCAATTGAAAGTATCCATTCATCTATTTTATACTCTCCTCCTAACTTATTTATGGGGCCGGTTTCACCAAACAAAGAGTAAGAGTTTACTCTGGAGTAAATCATGTTTACTCGAGAGTAACTTCTTGGAGCGTTTCACCAACACTTCACTCGAGTGTAAATCGCTTACACGAGAGTAAATTTGAGAGTAACTTTACACCGCGAAAATCCCTCGGGTAAAGTACGGAGTAAATTCAGTTTTCAACGTGCATGTACCTCCGAAGTGTTGTTACGGTTCGACGATTACGAATGATAGTATTTGAAGACGATTCCTGCAAAGATTCGGAATATTATCCACTAGTGCGAAGACAAAGGGTGCGAGAGAGAATGGATTGGTTTTAATTATGACGATCGCGATTTTTGCCATGAAGTTATGTTTGACCAAATCAGCTGTTTAACTTATCAGACACATTGTAAACTGTAGAGAACTTCTAAAGTTCTTCGTGTCCCATGTGGATACGAAATAAAGGTAGTACGTACCGAATACGACAACAAAAGGAAAAGTAATAACTACAGGAACTTCAAGTACTAAGAAATATTTATTTATTCAGTAAAAAATGTATGTGACGTATGGGGGAGATCATTTGCGCACGTTTTCTTGAGTTCCAGAATCCCTTTCCAACATTTTAATTGGAAATAGTTGAAAGATGAATAAAAGTTTTTAAAAAAAACATATATAATAATAAAATATAGAAAAACGCGAGATCAACATTTGAAAAACTAAACATTTTCGTTCCCTAGTTATAGAAAATTCATTTGCACCGCCATCGGTTAAAGAACTGCAAATTTGATTTTTCTGCATTGCTAACAAAATAGTAACTCGTCTCCAGAGATGAAGAATGAATATTTATTAAGAAATAAAGATACAGAAACTAGAAAATAAACTATGCTAACTCAAACCACCATAACACCACACCAGATTAAAACGACAAGAACTCCGAAACTGAAATTAATGACAAAATATAAGGAATTAATCTAAGGTTCGCGTTGGTTCGCATTGGTTCCCAGCGTCATTCTCGCTCACAGCCTCTTGATCGCTCTCAAATATTGTGTGTGTTCAGCTGATTTGCGGAGTAAATCGGAAGGTATGTACTCTAGAGTAAAATAACCCTCTAGAAGCATGGTGAAACACTCATTCTACTCAAGAGTTACTATCTTGGAGTAAATGGTTACTCTCGAGTTACTACTCTCAACTTTATTCCGCTGTTGGTGAAACCGGCACTTAGAATATAAGTGCAACATACTAAGGAGTTTTCCTGATTTCAAAACCTAATTTTCTGATTACAAGTTTTTGTCTACTTGATTACAAAACCGTACTAAGTCTCTGTCAACTGTAACTAGATCGATCGGGTAATATCAGTTTTGGAGAAAATCGTTTGAACTGTTTTTAGACGCTAGACAGGCCGCAGAGAAATGAATGCGTAGGTCTCCGTGGGCGTAGTAAATAAGATTCTTGTGTGACCAGAGATGCCACGTGACTAGGCACCTGTGACTACTGTTCCTAAGACGCGGACTCTTTACAATAGCATCTAAAGAGCACAGATAGTCAGAAGGGCAAACTGACGTTTTGCCATAAACCTATTTTTCGATATCAAAGACCCACACTCAAGACGTAGATTCTGAACTATACATTGTATTAGAGGAAGTAATTTACTTATTTAATACTACAAAATGTTTCCACTCCACACAATACGAGATTTTCTGTTGAGAATCACCTGTTGCTTTTTTCGCAGCGTTACAATACTTTCTCTGAACTAAGTACAATGTTGTAAAATAAATAAAATAAATGAATAAATAAATGAATGAATAAATAAATAAATAAATAAATAATAAAGTCTTTATTGCTGGCGAGGCTCAGGCCATTTAGCCTGCTCTTCCGCCTGACCATACGTAAGTAGTAGATTTCCGGTCAGGGAAATGCATTTTGTTAATGTGGCAGGGCGCTGCGGCGGCAGCAGCGAGAAGGACAAGGCGCTGGTGGGCGCAGCCAAGCGGAAAGCGCAGACGCCGCGCGTCCTCAAACACAAGGCGGAGGGCGACGGGGAGGCGGGTGCGCCGGCGACGGAGGCGCTGGGCGAGGGCGCGCCGGCGCCCGCGGCGCTCGACCCGGCCACAGGCGAGGCGGAGGCCGACCCTCTGCCGCCGGCCAGCGCCGAAGGGGAGGAGCCCGCCTCGGCCGCCGACGCCGTCGCCGAGCCTGTCCCTGCCCCTGCGCTCGTCGAGGCCGCGGACGCCGTCAAGGACGACCCCGACCCCTTCGCCGACGACGGCTTCGACGACCGCGAGTCGTCCGAGGACGACGACTTCAAGAAGCAGGAGGAGGACCAGCAGCAGCAGGAGGCCGCGTCGCAGCCGCCCATCTTCCGGTGAGTGGCCCCCGGGCGAGGGCTCGGCGACGACGCCCACGACCACGAGGTCCTTGGGTTCGGGTCCCGGCGAGAACGTCAAGACGCAAAACAGATGCCTAGACCGCCATCCACGGCAAACTACAGAAAACTAAGACCTACCATCAACTTGATTCCTATTGCCAAGAACATTCACGAGTCAACAAAGAAAATATAATCAACAACTTCTGCAATACCCACACACTTTCAACAATTCCTACGCATCTTTAACCCCAAGCTTATCCTCCCCGATACACTCAACCTTCCCAGCCATAAAGCGGCATATCACCTTTTCCACTTTCCCAGACATAAAGCGGCATGTCACCTTCTTCCTGAAAAGAAAAAAAAAACAAAATGAAAAGGACAAAACCAATATCCTCACCTCCCTTCCTTCCCGGTCCAACTCATCCTATCATCTTCATACCGCTAGTCTGGGCCAGTCGGAAGAATCCCAACCCATCCCTTTCCTCACCACCCAAGCAATATACACCTACCCACAGGAAATTGATACACTTGCCGTGCATGGGTGCAAGAGCGCAAAGCTTAGGCCTTCTCCAATATACAAGACCTTACAATCAATAAACGAATACATTCAATTATTAAATAACTCCTTGTTTCTTCTGGAACTTGCATTTCAACCTTTTCGCTCGACAGCTTAACTTTGGAAAATAAACTTCACTAAAAATCTTGGCAATGCATGACACCCACTTTTCATATTTGCACAGCAGCATCGTAGTGGGGGAGGAATCACATGCTGACTTGAGCATTACATTAAGCATTAGCATTACATTAAGACTTACGTCCCTATTTCATAGGAATCCCGGGCTCAACTTGTAGTAAAATTACGATTGAAAATGTTGCCAGGCCTCATTCTACAAAGCAAATGGTTGACAACTGTTATTAAGTAAGAAACACACATTGAAAGGCTTCAGTAGTAGACACTGCAATGCCAATTTATTTCTATTCATATAGTTGTCAGTAACACGATAATTCTTTGTACAAGTCTCTGAATCTGTTTTAATTAGAATCTATGATATACATAATATACATTTAAAGCATTGTAGCGTATACAAGGGCGTAGCTAGGCTGAGGCAACCGGTGCACCGCACTGGAACCCCCGAAATCAGGGGCCCCCTAAAAGGATACCCCCGCCAACACCCTATAAAGGTGCCGTTCCTGTACAAATGATAAAGAAAGGAACAAACTGAACGTCACCAAAATGCATTTTTAATAAAATTTATTTCTTATTATTGCCTTTAAATGCGGAAAAATTGTTTCAAGTCACAACAGCAACAACAATAACCTGGAATCTGCTAGAGGGCTAGTGGTTGAGCGAGGGGGACAGCGCGACCGCCGCTTCGTCTGTGTATTTACGCCCATGGCAATCGGCAAAGTGCAGCTGTTTGCGTTGGGCGTAAATATTACTGGACCGACACCTACCGCGCGAACAGGAATTGTATTAAAAAATTACTTCGTAAAATGATATTTTGTAATATAAAATTACCAACACTACAACTCGTATATACAAGCAACATGAATTGTTCGTTTCACAGGATATATTCGATCTGCGTTGCTGCCTGTTTAACTTCATGTAGTTCGCGGACGAATATTTTACGAATTCATTTTCAGAATAGGGATCCAAGAATGAGTAACTCTGTGAACTAAAATGGAGAATGATTTTCATGCTGGTTAAATTTATTTATTTGTACTGCGTGCCAAATTAATCTTTTCCTGATCCCGCGTTAGTCAATAGCAGTTAGGGGCCCCATTTGAACCTTCCACCCCACCATGAGCCTACACTTTGTGATCAAAAGTATCCGGGCACATGGTTGAAAATGACTTATGTCAGTTTCCAATCTTAGCCTTGACGGCAGCTTCCACTCTCGCAGGCATACTTTCAATCAGGTGCTGGGAGGTTTCTTGAGGAATGGCAGTCCATTCTTGACGGAGTGCTGCACTGAGGAGAGGTACCGATGTAGGTCGGTGAGGCCTGGCACGAAGTCGGCGTTCCTAAACATCACAAAGATGTTCGATAGGATTCAAGTCAGGACTCTGTGCAGGCCAGTCCATACAGGGACGTTATTGTCGTGTAACCACTCCGCTACAGGCCGTACAGTATGAACAGGTGGTCGATCGTGTTGAAAGATGCTATCGCCATTCCCGAATTGCTCTTCAACAGTGGGAAGCAAGAATGTGTTTAAAACATCATAGGCATGTGTCGTGATAGTGCCACACAAAACAACTAGGAGTGCAAGCCCCCTCCATGAAAAACACCACCATACCATAATACCATTTAGACGTGTCCGGATACTTTTAATTACAGTGTAGCTATGCCTCTGAGCCTATACAATATTTTAACTCACCGATACGTATTGCCTTGGTTGTTCTTATAGATGGGAGTGCCATGTTTGCCAGCAAGTCTTCCGTAACTGGAATTCGCTTTCTGTGCACTGCCGAACGACCCATGATGTGCCTGCACAGGTGGTGTGCCTGTGTGCCAAAGTCCTGGCTAGCAGGGCTTCAATCATTAAACATCGACTGAAGCACACCAATGGCTACAAATACAAGTGAGTAAGATTGCATTTAATTAATGTATAATGGACAGCATACTTCAAATTATTGTAAAGAAATGTTTAATTTCTTGCCATACGTATTAAATTTTTATAAAAATTTTAGAGGTTTTCGCACAATATTGTGTGCAATATTTGCAATTTTAAAAAATAACAAAAACACGTATTTTTCAAAAATGGCTCCAAAGTTTTTCTTTAAACTTTTGATAGTGTTAGTGCTATTTGCACTCTATAAGATCCCATATTGCTCTATTATTTTGTTTTTTCAAAAATTACAAAAATGTAATTTTTTTACTTGTCTCTTATGTCATTAATATCTACATTAGCATTAATTTCTTTATATTGATGTATTTATAAGTGCATGTGCTTTAAATAATGAGTGATAAAGTTTCCCGAAAACTCAACATTTTCCGTGAAAATGAGCTCGAAATTCCGCTTTTTCTCAAACGTTCACACGCCATTTTGTCAAAAACTGTTCCATTTTTTTCTTCAAACTTTTCCAACAGATAGTGTAATTGCACTGTTTAAGATGGGATGGAATTAATTTTGCTGTATTCATTTGTTTCTTCAAAAATTACACAAATGTAATTTTTTGAAAGATCTCTCCCGCCTTCAGTATGCACGTTGCCAGCGATTTGTAAACACTATTGCATTTGTGAGTGGAAGTGCTTGAAATAACGTCATGTGAAGTTTTTCGATAATTTTTTTGTGACAAGAGCTTCAAATTTCGAATTTACAGTCGCGCTTAAAAACCATTTTCTTAAAAACGGCTCCATATTTTTTCGTAGAAAATTGCCATTTAGGACCAGGTTTTACTGTTCTTTAATATTCTTAAAATAATATTTCCATTCTACTATTAGGAAACCGAAAAATTAAGAAAATTTCAACAAAAACAATGTATTGTGGGCGGCGATAGATGGTAGCTGGCAAGTCCGAAAAGCTAGCTGAGACCAACGGAAATAGAAAACTAATACGGGAAAGTGTATGCCATTCTGTCATGCCACTATTTTTTTTCTCCCATAGAGCAAGAGATATGTAAAGTGAGTGAAATAAAGTGTGTCTCATTTCTTTGAACTCTATATTTTCGAAAATTGCAAAAGTTACAAATAAAATTTATTTTTCTACACTTACTAGTTCTTTAATTACTGTCATGTACATTGTTTTGAAAATAATGGCCCATCCAAGCAAAAACAAGGGGCCATCTGAGCATTCGTTCGAAGGATCAGGGAGAATGAACAAAAAAACCTGTTCAAGATGGGGATCAATGACCCACACACTGTGGTACAATACTTGTTACAGGTTGTTTAGAATTAAACAGTCCAAATGGTCATTAATATATTCAAAAGAATCATTAAAATGATTATTACTTTAATTTTTATGCTTGGTATAGACTGTAATTGTATGGAAACAGTTATGCAGCAGACAAGATTTTAGTTGGCACTTAAACTTGTTTATCGAATTTAACCATTTAATGTCATCTGGCAATGTGTCGTAAAAATTCCTTAAATTGTATGTGAATTTTTGGTAGTGGGCTGTTGATACTGACACCCAATAAATATGATTACTACGTCAAGTGTTATAGTTGCAGACATCAGTATTAGCTGAAAATATGTTCCCACCCAAAAAACACTGAATGGTAAATCAAGAGCCAATGTAGAATTACTGGTTTAATAAAGAGATTAGCTTATTATTCGTACAATTCTTTTTTGTAATCTAAATGTCTGGAAGCTATACAATGATTTTCCCCTGAATATTACGCCATATCTTAGGCAAGTATGAACGTTTACAAAATATATACAATGAGCAGTATGGAGGCTGATTGAATTTGAATGAATTCTGAACGTTTAGCATAATCAACTTTATTTTGTGTTCAATTCATTTGAAGTTTGACTGAATTGAGAGACCCAAAAATTTTGTTACTTTAACATTGATCAATCGCATATCGTTCTTTTTCAATGGAGTATTCAATTGTTTATTTAAGTAGAAAATTGCATTAAAAAAGTTTTTTCCTTCATTTACTATTACTTTGTTATTACTGTATCAATTTGAATCATCTGATACCGTGCTATTTACAGTTACTGCAAAGGATATTAGTATCATCTGCAATAAGAACTGTTCTTCCATTTGGAATCCTTGTGGGCATGTTATTTACATATAGTTGATAGAGAATAGGACCTAAAATCGAACCTTGCGGGACCCCTTCTGCAATTGGTGATGAATTGCAAAGGTGTGTTTGTAATGTCCCATCATTCCAATAAGATATTTATATTCTCTGAGACCTTTGTGTAAAATACAAAAATAACCAATCTAGAGCAATATCACAAATACTGTACGAAGGTAATTTTGAAGGTAAAATTAATGATGTCAAAAGATCTTGAAAGATCTAAAAATATTCCAATAGGTAGCTTCATTTTGATCCATGGATGAAGTGACATCTTTAAGAAAAGAAAATATGGCTGTCTTCGTAGATTTGGATTTCCTAAATCCATGTTGATAACCTGAAAATGCTTCGTTTTTTTTTGTGAAAGATTTCCATTTGTTCTTAAAAAAGTCTACCTAATATTTTGGAAAATACTGACAAAAAAAATGGCCAATAATTTTGAATTTCATTTTTGTTACCTTTTTTGAAGAGCTGCTTAATCTTAGCTGTTATGAAAATATCTGGAAAAGTTCCTTTGTCTAAAGATGCATTAAATATGTGAGTTAACGGTTGTATAATGGCAGATGCACAAGTCTTTAATAAACAATCTGAAAATTCATCTAAACCAACTGAATATTTATTTTTCAATGTATCAATTATTTTAAGAATTTCATGGGAAGAAGTTTCAGAAACAAACATCATGTCTAAAATTTTTGTGGAGCTGTCTGATGTTGAGTTTTGCGGCTGGTCTTAGTTAGATCGGTAGCAATTCTCATAAAATATTGGTTGAAGAGACAAGTCAGTGTTCCCTTCACGCAAAATATTCACACATTTCCTACAAATAAAACATTGGTATAAAAGTCAAGACAGAGCCAAGAGGATTATGCAATGCTTGGGGAGCATGAAGGTGCTTTTCTCTGGGAATGACCCCTCAGGAGCAGTAAATACCACTTGAGTCTCTGGTAGGTCTTTTAGGCATCAATAGGTAGCAGCTGTAAAGAAGGTGGGGAAATACGAAAAGCTAGCCCCGACTCAAAAGAATAGGAAACTAACTGGAGGGAGAAAGTACATGCCATTATGTAGCACTCTTATTTATGAATATGAAGAACATTAGAAGCTCAATGTGGAATTACAATTTAGCAAGTTATTCATTATTATCCTGTTTTAATTTCTCTATTTTTTATTTCCTAGGTGTGACAAGTGTGAAAAGGCCTTCCATCGAAAGTCTCTCTTTGATCTCCATGTCCTAAGTCATGTGCCAAAAGAAGAGCAACCATTTGTTTGCTGTAAATGTGCCCGTCGCTTTCATTGTGAAGCACTTCTTCGACATCATGAAAGGGTGCACCTGCCTCGTGAAGAACGTCTTGTCTACCCTTGCTCTGTCTGTGCCAAAAAGTAAGTAATTTATTTCAGCATCTTTACAAATTCTCTAGTAAACCCTTGTTTCCAAAAACATGGTAACTTTTGCAAATGTTGGTAAAGATATTTCCATATTTTTCTGTAGAGTCATTGTAATTTTTGTAATTTCAACCAATACAGTAACAGAAATATAAATTTATCTTACATGATTGAAGGTCAGTGGATGTGCTTCCTAATTCTAGTACCAATTTGTTCTAAGTTCAAGAGAAAGAGTAGGGGAAGCAAAGATTATTAAATAGAAATTATAGTTTTATTAGAAACAAAAAAAAAACTATTTACATTACTCATAGCTCGCATTCTTCATAATTATCCCCCAATGTTTTCTCATGTCGTTGCTGTCAAAGAGTAAGGTGTTGAATACCATAGGCTCTGTGTGATTCATCTATGAACATCAACTGTGTATCACATTTGCATCACACCGTGTCAGCAGTCTCATTTGAAGGTCTGCACTCCACAAGCAACACCATGATAGACAACACACTATTATCAAATGAAGCATCATCTTTCAAAAACATTTTCTTATTTTGAGACATTTAGAATCAATTTAAGCATTTTCTATTTTGTATATTTCTGAATGCATTATAAATGCATATTTGAACCTTATGGTGGTGTTCATATGTATGGACTTTGTATACCTGTTTTATTGGCTCCTGCAGCATTTTCAGTCAACTTGTCCTATCTCTGACATTAGACAAAATATTTTTCTAGATCAGTGTGGGATGGACCATTCAAGGGTGAATGACTCATAGCTCAGCCCTACAAATGGGACAGAATAGGGAAGGGAGGTCCAAAGCCCATATCCGGGGGTTCTTATGCTCCAGCATTTACCTAGACATGATCAGGGAAGTCATGAAAACCACTGATTAGAGCAGTCAGCCAAAACTAGGTGCCACAAACTCGCTGATGCGAAACCCTTCTCACTAATTTCTGGTGAGTGGCTGAGAGCAAATCAACAACCTCTTGAACACCAGTATGACTCTTAAGTCACAACCTTAGTACATCCTTAACACTCATGTGAAAGGAAACTACTTTTTCTTTGTGATCCAGATTGCACATGACCTTTCGGTATGGTTGGAAATGGAATTGTAGATTTTGTTCTTCGTGTATATAATCGCCAGAAGGGAAGAGAGAACAAGAAGGAATCGATAAATGTATATTATGTACAGACACCTCTGTCTTTAAAAGGGATCTGAGACCATACACAAACATAGAATGAGATTTCTCATGCAAGTCTGTAAGCATCAATGAAAAATATACAAAATCCTCAGTGGTATCATCTTCCTTTTCCTTTTAGATTTTTAACACCAACTGAAACTGGAGCCTCTACCTCCACAGAAAGACAATATATGACCATATGTTAATTTGTCCAGGCTTGCAGGTATATCTTCAGCTTGATAGAGATTGGTGCCAGGAAGTAAAAAAGGGAAAGTAATGATGAAAAAGGTAGAAAATGGCAAAATCCCAAAAATAGGCATCAGAAGCTAAAATAGGACAAAAAAGGTTAAAAAAAAAGGAGAAATCTACTAAAACAACTCCAAAAGTACAATTAAGCAATTCCTGTTATTAAAAGTCATAAAATCTTAACAATAATAAAAAGGCATTTTGCCATACTTCTGGGCTCTTCTCATTACCAAAGATGTTGTTTCTCAGAAGACTAGACTCACATTTTTGGGTTTTGGTGTTTGAGACATTAAGGATATATTGGATATATTGGGTTTTGATGTTTGAGACATCAAGGATATATCTTCTTCTTGCCGTTATCTTAACCTCTATTTCGGTCTTCCGGCACCTAAACTTCTTCTCCAGTCTTCCCTGTTCTTCCATGAATCAGAAGGTTATTTCCACTTCTCGATTATCTTTCTTATCTGGTCGTTCCATCCTAGTCTTGGTTTGCCTCGTTTTCTCTTTTCACTTGGTTGCCATTCCAAAGATCTCCTGGGAAGTCTTCTCTCGTCCATTTGCTGTACATGTCCAAACCAAGTGAGTTGTTTCTTTTCAATTTCCTCTGTAATATCATGTTGCAGATTAATTATTTCCTTAACCTTTTCATTCCTAATTCTTTCCCTTCTAGATATTGCTGCAGCTCTTCTGAGGAAATCCATTTCCAAGGCTCTCAATTTTCTTTTCTGTTGTTCTGGAAGCTGCCATATTTGTGCTCCATACAATGTAACACTTTCAATCATACATTATAATTTTCGTTTTCTTGCTTATATTTGGATTCCAGATAACTGCATTCAGGCCTCTTAAAATTTCTTCCTTTAATGAGTTGAGTTCCACATTCCTTTCCATAAAACCCTGTTTTCCTATTGTTGTTCCCAAGTACTTTAGGTTTGCTGTTGTTCTTATTATTTCTCCAGTTTCCATAGTCAATACGTCATGGGTACTGCCTAGAGTCCAGTATATTGTTTTTTTCTAGGTTGAAGCTTAGTCCCCATTTCTCGTTATCTTCTTTTATCTTTCTAGTCATATATTCAATATCTTCCTGTTCTTATGCCATCAGCACCTGATCATCAACGAACTGTAGGGTATAGAGTGTTGTATTATCATCATGTGGTATTCACATCCCAGCACATTTTCTTTTCCATACCTGTAACACCACATTAACATATATTTTAAAGAGTGTAGGCTTACTAAACGTGTTTGTCACTGTTATCCCTCTATAATTTTCACATATCTTCCTTTCCTCACATTCCTTCCTTTCTTATATATTGGTGTTATGTAAGCTATTTTCCAGTCTTCTGATATATCACCTTTATTTATACACCTATTCATTAGCTTCGTCACCATTCGCACTAGCTTTGGTGTTCCATTCTTTATCAGTTCGCTTGGGATTTCTCCTGGACCCGCCTTTCATTTCTTTGATACGTCCCACCTAGGGAGTACATAACCTTGACGTTGGTGGTGGAGCTTGAGTACCCCTGTGATCCAGAGAGCTATGCCGGCGGACTGGTCAAAGGGGTGGGGGCAGACCAAGTACTCCAGAAGAGGACAGGAGCACAAGAAGAGAACATTCAGTACTGTGCACTGAGAAGGATCTTGAAACAACGAAGATTTAGGCAGAAATCCTAGCCTACATTTCTACCGAGGGATGAAGGATATGGGTATGATCTCACCAAAGGAACAAGAAGATTCCAAAAGAGATCTGAGCAAGAGGAGCTCAAAAGCTCAGTAAAACCATCCTCCTAGGGGAGTAAACCCTAAAAATATAATGTAGCAAGTCTATCACAACCAAGTGTAAGATATTTATTTCAAAACAGATTGGATAATTTACTGAATGAAAACTTAGTTGGATCAAATGAGGAGATATATAAACACTCAAAGATAGTCTACATCAAGCGGCTAAAGAAGTGCTTGGTGAAATCCCTTTAAATAAGAAAAGATGAGGGAAGAGCTATTGGATTACTCAAGACCTGGAGCGGTAAAAAGAGGAGAAGAGATTGTATGAAAAATGGTTGAGTACCAAGAAAGAAGAAAATAGAGAGGAATATAAAATCCAACGAAATAGAGTTAAAAACATCATAAGAAAAGAAAAACAACAGTCATGGGAGCTTAAATGTTAAGAAGTAGAAATGTACATAGGTAGAACAAAAAGAAGTGAGATTTGGAAGTTTATAAAAGAGGTAAAATCTCCCCAAATGGAAAAAGTCTGCATACAAAGTATATCTGTAAGCAAATGGGAAGAGCACTTTAGAAAATTATTAAATGAAGGAAGATCAGATTTTCTTGGAACTACAGAGAGGGAAAAGATATCTCCCACAAGGGAAATTACAGTAACTGAAGAGAGGGTTAAGGATATATGAAGGATATATTGGAAGATGTACATGTCACACAATGTCACCATCATAGTGAGAAAAACTGCCTGCAGATTCACCTTCAGAACCATTTCTGCTGAACTGTTAGGCACTTGAAAAATGTAATCATTATAAGCTAATTCAATGAATTAATGTGTTCTTTAGGTGAGTATGATTTAACCGGAAAAGGATCTTTCGTTTCAGGAAAAGAATCTCACAAAAGGCTCTCAAAAGGCTGTAATTGAAGATTTTTATTCCAAATTTCATCTAAGCTGCCTTTCTCATGCTTTTCATGATTTCACAGCTGCTGTTGCTGTGAGATTTCAACTTTCAGATAATAGTCAGTTGATATCAACTATCAAGATTTATTTTAAGTATTCTTCAAGACTCCCAAGTCATGTGGAAATTTTCTAAACAATTATTGTGTCCTATATCTACCTTCCTGGCCAGTCACCCCTTGCTAGGATACTTGGCTGAAGGCAGCTGAGTGCTATTGCAAGAGTTTTGTGCAAATAAAAAATATTGTAAGTTACCTGCTGATTCTGCTACACTAGAAAGAGTTGGATCTGTAATATAAAAAACTCGACTTTCCAACAGACAGACACTAGGATACAAATATTCATATGCTCTTTGTAGTTGGTAAAATGGTGCACAAAAGGAGAATGAAAACGAAATGAAGATATTTCTTGATGTTTTGCAGAAACTCCTTGGGTGGAAGGGCATACAATTAAAAGATGGTATCTTATGTTGGAAATAGTGCAGATGCTGAGCAAGAACTCTGGAGTTGAATAGGATTCCATAGATTTTGAATTGTTCAAATTTGTGCTACCTTCTTTCAGCCATTGTGTAACATTCGTTCAGCCATTTCAAAGCTATTTTGAAACATATTTTGACTATTGTTCTTGTACAAAAACTTAATAAAGTTGACTGTTTACAATTGCAACAGTTTTGTGAGGGATCAATAGGTCTTGTTCAAGTTGTCACATTTTTTAAATTTACATGTTTCTCTTTAACGTAATTTCATTGGTTTACAAGTGAAATAAGCTTAAGACAGGGTTTTGAAGTTTTGAAATATTTGATTGTTTTTCTGGAATTTAGAGGAATTCACATTTTTATTGATTTATATTAATTTGTGGAATGTACCTTATATGCATTTCCCATTATTTCTTTGGAAGTGAGTAAAAT